TTTTCCTGCAACATTCTCATTTCCTTTCTTAATTTTTCGCATACTTCTCAATTTTTGATTTTTTCAATATGTTTTCCTAAGTGTGAGGCCACCTCAATCTCTTCTGTGCGGATTTGCATTCTTATTATATTGTTTGGTGTGTTCTTCAAAGTTGTGTTCCTAGTTTCATTGTCTCTATGGAGAAGTTTTTTCCTTCTTCATAAGTTTTGTGACTTATTTCTTGACTCCAGTGTTATGTCCAGTTGGCCTCTTCTCCCCATTTAGATAATGTTCCATGTTTCACATATTTGTACTTTTGTTTTCGAGGTACCTCGAGTGATCTGTAAGTTGTTTTGTTTCTCCAGAGAGGTATGATCTAAGCAGAGGTGTGCTCCATGTTCTCCTGGCCTGTCCCCTGTTATCTGATCCACCACAAGCCCTATTTTCTGCCTTGTAACTGTGCCCAGGCTCCCCGCTTCTGCTAATTTTCCTCGTTGCTATGTCATTGTGCCCTTGAATTCTGTATGGGCAGTCAAGTCCTAATCCCGGTGCCAACTAAGGTTTGCTTGTATTCCCCTTCTGACCAGATGTCAGAGCCCCTTACTTTTTGTGGCTTGACAGTTCCTGAAAGTGCCACCACTCACTCAGCCATCCCATGATGGCCCCTTTGTCCTCCAAAACCACCAGTCTTGGCCTAGTTACGTTGTGTCCATCGATCTCCCTGTCTTCCATGCACTCTGTTGCAAATTTAGGTTCTTGTTTTGAGTTGATGTCCATAAAATTTAACCCTTTAGTTGACCCTATCCTCCTCTCTGTGACTATCCTGGCAGCCACAGAGCTGTGAAATGAATCATTCATATTTTCTTCTGTCTTGTCTTCATACAGTCCTTTGAAGAACAAGATTTTGTTGGAATGTCTCCTTGGTGGTGTGTTAACTGTCTTGTTTTCCTTTAGTTCCAGCTGATAGCTCTGCCTTCAGTTACTCTGTTGTTCCAGGAATTCAAAGCTCCTTTCACATCTTCCACAGAGGCAAATTCAATGAATGTGTGCCTTTTGGGTCCTCCTTGGTTTTTCTGGGGCAAGCTGAGGAACGCTTCCTGTGGACTTTCTTCAGCTGAGCTCATGGTGGGGCTATTCATCACCATTTTCTTTCAGTCTCCCATGCAGCGCTTATTCCTTCTTCAGGAATTTTTCTCCCCACACCTCTTGAGTTCTCTTGTCCTTGACTTTTCTTCCCTTTGTATTCCAGAATAAGCACTTGACTGTCAATCTCAGTTCCTTGTTTCTCTTCTAAGGCCTTGTCCATGTCTGCTTTTGACTCAAATTCTATCTTAAATAGGCAGTTTTGGGGATGTCCCATCCTTGGTGCATACAAGTGTGACTTTAGCAGAATCTTCAAAGACTTCCTGGAGTTCTTTTATATGGCAGATTCTTGACAAAGAGTGTCCTTGTGTCACAATCTTTCTTGTTGTCTTTTGCTTTTTCTACCTTCATTTCAGAGCTTAGCACTTGGAGCCACTGAGTTCCAGAGCCTTTTCTGTGTCTTCAGTGGATTTGAATTTCACATAGCCAAATTTCTTGGTGGTACCGATGGTGAGCTCCTTTTTTGCAAAGATATCCGTGATGCCAGTTTTAGCTCCAAAGTGGTTTTGTTGAAGTTCAGGTTACGAGCAAAGAGATTGAAATTAGTAGACACTTCAGCTTCCAATCTCTGTCTCTTGGCTTTGGGAGGTTTCTGCCTGTCCTTTTCCTTTTCCTCTTTCCTGGCGCTTCTTTGACAGGCACTTTGTCGTCGTAGTTGTCCTCCTCCTCCTCTTCCTCTGATTCTTTGATGCTCCCAGCTTTCCCAGTGTGACCCCCATAGCGTCTTCTTCAGCCTCATTACTATCATCTTCCTCTTCATCCTCAGATGTGTGTTTGGCTGGAGCCAGTCCCATTTTGGAGGCTTTGGGTGGCTCACATTCTTTGTCCTCTTCATCTTCACCATCCTCTTCTTCAGATTCAGTGTCTTCTTTCTTGGCATTCCTTCCATTTTTTTGCCCTTTTCATCAGGGGTGGGCGGGGGTCGGAGTGGCTCTTGCCTTTGCTAGGATGGCTGCTGCGTTAGCTGGAGTGGCTCCTTTCTTGCCCGGTGTGATGCCAGCTTTGGCTGGGGTAGCCACTTTCTTGGCTGGTGTGGTGGCAATGATAGCTTTTTTTGGCTGGTGCTACCTTCTTTGCTGGTGTAGCCACAGCCTCTTTCCCTTCTTCTGAAGGATCACAAGCTCTTCTCCACTGCTTTTTTTCATCTTTTGCCATGTCCCCATACTGATTGTCTTCTTTCTTCTTTGATTTTTAGCAGCCTTCCCAAACTTCACCATGATGGTGGCACATGGCTAGGGGGCAGAGGCCCAGGCAATGTAGCTGGTGGCAGAGAGCTTGAGGAGGAGCCTCCCATTGGTGTCCCAGTGCTGAAGTTTCTACATTAATAAATCTCTCACAGTCTAAGTCTTTCTACTCCTCCATCACTCAGAGATTAGCTTTCTCTCTGCATATAGCTCCTACTCTCTCCATTAGTTCACCCATTCATCCCTCATACAGATGGTCTTTCTAAGCAGCCAAACATCACTTATATTTATCTCCCTCACTGGATCACTAGAAATATTGCATACTTAATTCTCAGCATTTCCCTTCCATCCTTTCGGGGCTTTTGCTACATTCTCAGGTATCCATTCATCCTTCGCTGCTAAGGCTTCTGCTTTCACACATTCCATGTCACACATGCAGCACTCTCATGCAATGTGGTTCTCTTTCCTTACACCTTTTACACTCTTGGTCTCTTTCCAGCCATCTCTCATTTGCCACTTTCTCCATTCATCCATCTCTTCCTCTTTAGGTCTTTCTTACACTTGTTCTTTACCTTTATGTTCTAAACCTAGGTTCATCTCTTCCCCTCTAGATCTATACAATCATTTTTCTCACGATGCTGAAGTATCTCCATTCATACAGTCTCTCACTCTTTAGGCCTTAACCTGCAATAATTTCTCCCACTCTGAAACTTTGAAACAGCCTGACCCACATTCCTCTTTGGCTGCCTCTCCCCAGTCATTCTTCGCTTCCTTGCTTCTTCTCAATTCAGACACTTCACATTGTACACTTCTCATTATTCATCCATTTCTTCCTCTCTGGCTTTGACTCTCAATTCACCTATCAGCTTTTGGATCTCCTTCCACCCTTTTTTGTGCCTGTGTATCACCCATACTCACCCTTTTCCCTTCTCAATCTGTTCTTCTCTCTGTGTTTCTCTTCATTCCTTCATTTATCACCTTCTATTGATACCTATTCATCCAGCATTCTGAGATTAGCTTTCTCTCTGCATGCTGTTCCCACTCAGAACATGAGCTCGCCCCTCCATGTCTCACTCAGTTGGTCTTTCTAAACAGCTAAGTATCACCTGTGCTCATCTTGATTCACTTATATCGCACTCAGTGGTTCACTAGAAATATTACAGATCTGATTCTCAACATCTCTCCTTACTCTTTCCTGGTTATCTCATGTTTTCTCAGCTGTCCATCCTTCATTCCTAAAGTTGCTTTTTTCATGCATACCTGAATGTGCAGGTGTTTCTAGCCATGAATCTAACGTTCTCTCCATATGTCTCTCACTCTCTTGGTCAAATTTACCATCAGTCTCTCTTTTCCCCTCCTTTCTCCATTCATCCATTTCTTATTGTCTGTTTCTCTCTCATTCATTCTTTGCTTTTGAGTTCTAAACCCGGATTTAGCTCTCCCTGTCTACATCTATACAACCGTTCATTTCACAATGCTGAAGTGCCTACATTCATCCATCTCTTCCGTTTGAGGCCTCAGCATGAATTCCTTCCTTCCTCTCTGTGAGTTCTCCTGTTGCATCTTGCCAATACAATTTCACATGTCATACCTTCATACATCAGAGTTTGCTTTTCTCCTTTTTTCTTGCCTGTGCATCACCCCCTTTCACCCTTTCCCTTTTTGCCTGTCTCAGTCCATTCTTTTCTTCCTGTTTCTCTTCATTCATTCTCTCACTGCCTAGGTATACTCATTCATCCACCACTCAAGTGATAGCTTTCATCATGCATACAACTTCCCCTTGGTACAATAATTAACCCACTCATCTCTCACTCAGGTGGTCTTCTTGGGTATCCAAATATCACTTCTACTTATGTCTACTCAGGTGTCTCTTACTCACTGGTTTGTTCTGCACATCGTTTATCTAAATTCCACCATCTCCACTTTCATACTTTCCTGGCTTTCTCTGTTTCCTGAGCTGTTCGTGCTTCACTGCTAAGGCTTCTCCTTTGAAACCTACCTCAGTGTACAAGAATTTATAGCCAGGAATCTGTCTCTACCTCAAAACCTATCCCATCCTTCTCTCACTTTCCCTCTTTCTCCATTCATCCTTCTTTTGCTCTGTTGTTCACTCTTGTTTGTCCCCTTTTCGTCTGGGACATTCATTATTCTCTGCCTCTGTAAATCGATGCCACCATTAGTCTCCTTAGCTTTGTGACCCTGAACAATCACAGAACCTCTGTCTGCCTCAGTTTCCTCATTCCAAAATGAGGATGATAGTAGCACTTGCCTTACGGGTTTATTTGAAGATCTAATGAGATAATACTTGTAAAGTGTTTATCACAGTGCCTGGCACATAATAGGTTCTTAATCAATGCTTATTTCCTTTTCTCCTCCTTCCCTCTCCTTCCATTTCTTTTGACCCTGTTACATTCTGTGCACATTTATAGAGTTGACTCTGTGATGTTGTAGCAATTCCAGATGACATCAGTGTTTGTTTCAGGAAGTTCCATATCTGATCGACATTCCAAGTCACTAATCATAAGAGAAATACAAATTAAAACACCTCTGAGATTTCATTGATTAACAAAGATGAAAACAAGACAAAAATGCTGAATATCACCAGATTGTGTGTGAGAAGCCAAGCAGTGAGTAGAGCTGTGAGGCGTTTCTCATGATTTGAGGAAACATTTTGCAAGTATCAGATAAGTCATTAAACCATACATACCGTGTGAGCTAGATATACCAGCATTAGCCATATAAATGTACGATCTATAGATCCACCTCCCAGGCATATATTCACATGTGTGTGTGGTCACACACCCTACAGATATGAAAGAGAGCCAAGGAGAAAGTACCCATTCTCATGGTAGCAGAGCAGGGGAAAGAAAGTCACACAGTCTTGGGAATGGCCATGGGGTGCGGAGGTCATGGAGTCTCATTATTCTGTTAAAAAAAAAAAAAAGGAGGATTCAGAGAAAATGAAGAAGCTTTGTATGAATGAGCTGGTGCAGAACAAAGTAAGCAGAAAGTAGGAGAGTACATTACATGATGGCCACAAGAATATTCAGTAAAACAACACTGAAAAACTTCCGAGTTCTTCAGTAGCTCAAAAGAAATGTGAAATGCTCAGACTTAGAGACATCCCCATCCCAAATACTCAGACTCTTTGTACCTGGCCTGTGGTAGAGCCTTCTGAGCTCACACTGGTCTGATCAGCTACAGCTGGACCCACTGGACCTTGATCCCAACACAGTGAAGTCATTTTGGTCCTTTCCGAGCGCGAAGGACAACAATCAGTCCACATCTGTATTTCCCCTCAGGTATGTATCCCTCCATCTGTGTACATTCCTGTAGTCTGTGTGTGTCCCCCATCTGCATCTTTTCATCTGTCTGTTTGTGCCCATATCTTCATTGTTGTCTGTGACCCTGTCTGTCTTCTCCTATTTGTTCATATGTCTGCATCTGTGTGTCTACATGTTTCTATGTTCACCCTTCCTGTCTGTGTCCCCATCTATGTGTTCCATTCTGTTGGTACATGCCTATGTGTCTCTCTCTCTCATTTCCCCCACCCGTGTCCCCCAGCTATCTCTGTCCTATGTCTGTGTATCCCCCATTTGTCCCCCATGTGAATGTTTCCCATATATCTCTGATATGCTTGACATGTCTCCCATCTGTCTGTCTGTATCTCACTACCAGTGTGTGTGTGTGTCTCCATCTGTTTGTTTTCCCATGTATGTGTTTTGTTCTATCTCTGTGTTCCCCCTAGTCTGCCTGTGTATCTATCTGACCCGCCATCTGCCCATAGGTCCCCATTGCCATGTCTCTGTATTCACCCTACTTGCCATGTGTCTACCTGTCTTTGTGTGTAACACCATGTTTCTGTGTCCACTTTGCCTATCTGTGTGTCCCTGTGGCTCCTCATCTGTGCTGTTCTCTGTCTTTCGGTCTTCTTTGTTCCCATCCATTGTGTATGTCCTCATCTAAGTCCCACTCTCTGTGCATCTCACTTGTCTGTTTATCTTCCTTCTGTTCGCGCATGTCTTCATCAAAGTCCCTCTGTCTCTGTATCATATCTGTCTGTCCTCCATCTGTTTGTCTCCAAATTCCACTATTAGAATCTGTTCCCCATCTGTCTGTGGCCCATATCCGTCAGTCCCTCCTTCTGTTTGTGTGTCCTTATCTCTGAGTATGTTTCTATCTGTGTTCCTTTCCCCCAATCTGTGGGTACCTCTGTCTGTGTTCACTCTTGTCACTGTGTGTCTCTCCTCTGTATATACATGCAGGTATCTGCCATCCGTGCACGTCTCCCTCTGTGTCTGTTCACTGTGCCTGTTTGTGTGTGTGCCCCATCTTTCTGCACGTTCCCCTGCTTGTCTCTGTGTGTGTTTCATTGCACTGTATGCCCTTCTCTCTGTTCCTGTCTGCGTATATATTTCTGTCTCTGTCTCCCATCTTCCAGTCCCCCCCATCTGTCTGTGTCCCCCATCTGTATCCCCTGGTCTGTCTGTCAGTTCTTCTCTCTGTCTAGATGGAACCGCATCTGTTCACTCCTCTGTGTGTTCTCATCTGTCTCTGGATTCCCTCCATCTCTGTCAGTGTCTCCCCATGTCTGTGTCCTCATAGTGTCTTTGCTTCTGTGTGTCCCCATATATCTGTTCACTTCTCTCTGTAGTGTCCTAGTTTCTTTGTGTCCCCCAGATGTCTTTTGCCCCCCCCCATTTTTCTGGGTTGTCTGTTTGCCTGAATGTCTCCATCTCGTTGTGTATCTCCAGCTAGATTGTTGTCCTGCCCAGTGTGTGTCCCTGTCTCTCTGTGTCCTTCTGGCCATCTTCCTGTCTAGTTCCCTCATGTCTGTTCAGGTCCTGCTCCCCCTCCACACTAGTGCCTTCCCTCTGGTGTTTGGTGCCATTTTCCCCATCTACACCTTGTTTATATATAGTTGTTTTCTTGTTGTCTCCCCCTTTAGACTGGGAGCTCCTGGAGAGCAAGGGCTGGCTTTTACCTTTCTTTGTATCCTCATTGCTTAGTACAGTGCTTAACACCTGCTTCCTTCCTTCCTTGGGTCCCTTTCTCTTCTCATCTCTGTGTGTCCCTCATCTCTTTGCATCCTCACCTTCCATCTTTGGTCTCCATGGCCTCTTCTGTGTTTCCCTATCTGGCCACATTACAACCTGCTTTGCTTATGTGTTCTCCTCTGTCACAACTACTGACATGTTTGTCAATGTCATCCCGTCCCTACATCATGTGCCTTCTCCATCTGTTGGCGACTCCCTTCTGTCTCTGCATCCCTTGGCCTTTCTGTCACCTTAGTCTTGTCCCCCATCAATCTGTGTGCACCCAAATATGTGTTTACTTTTTTGGGGGCAAGGCAATTGAGGGTTAAGTGACTTGCTCAGAGGCACACAGCTAGTACGTATCAAGTGTTTGGTCTGAGGCCAGACTTGAACTCAAGTTCTCCTGACTTCAGGGCTGGTGCTCTATCCACTTGCTACTATGTGTTTACTTCTGTCTGTGTCCCACATGTCTTTTTGGCCTCTCATCTGTGTCCCAGTCTCTGTTTGTCCTCATCAATGTATTCGTTTCTGTCTGTCAGTCAACAAGCATTAAGTGCTTACAATGTGCCAGGCACTGTGCTAAGCCCTGATGATTACAAAGAAAGGCAAAAACAGGCCCTGTCCTTAAGGGACTTAGAAAGAGACAACATGCAAGCAACTATATCCAAACAGGAGAGGTACAGGACAGATCAGAGAGAATCTTAGAGGGAAAGTGCTAGCAGCTGGGGAGACTAGGAAGGAGCTGCAGAAGGAGGGATATGAGCTGAGGTGAAGGAAGGTAGAGGTCAGGAAGGAGAGCAGTCCAGGACTGGTGCATAGACAGTGCAAATACATGGAGATAGAAGATGGAGTATGGTATGGGCCAGGCTGGATAGCTGAGTGTGTGGAGAGGATTAAGTCAAAGATTGGAAAGGGTCTGTGTAGTTTAAATGCTCAGCAGAAAAGTTGATGTGATCTTGGAGGTGACAGACAGCTTCTGGAGTTAGTTGAGTAGGAGATAGCATGGTCAGTGGAATGGTGGATGGATTGGAGTGGGAAGAGACTTGAGGCAGGAAGACCAACCAGAAGGCAACTGTAATAATTCAGGAGAGGGTGAAGAGGGCCTCAACCCAGGTGCTGGCTATTTGAGAGGAAAGGTGACAATAGAAACAAGATTTCCCCATGGATTGGGTTGAGTGCAAGCCTGGAAGACTGAGAGCGTGATACGGAGGTTAAGACGAGGGGAGAGATCATAAGTTTTGTTTTGGACATTTTGAGTTTGTGATATCAATGCAGGATATTCCTTAAGAGGTCAGGAGAAAGGTTAGGACTGGGTATATGGATCTGGAAACCATCTGTAGAGACAGGTTTGTGAAGTACCTACTTATGTTATCTCATTTGATCCTCACGACTTTAGCCCCATTTTACAGAAGAGAAAACTGAGGCTAGCAAGGTTCAGCGACTTGCCCAAGGTCACACAGCTGGTAAGTGTCTGAGGCAGGATTAGAACTCAGGTCTTTCTGGTTCCAAGTCCGACACTCTACCCACTGCAGCCCTTAGCTGCCTTGATGAATGATAAGTGAACCCATGGGAACTGATGAGATCAGGAGACCAGAGTGCCAACAGAGCCTTGGGGGACACCCAGAGTTACTGATGAGCCAGCGAAGGAGACTGAGGAGCAGCAGTCGGCTCAGTTTGCCTGTCCCCATCGCTCTCTTTCTCTCCGTGTGGTTCCAGCAGCCTGCATGCCCCTGCACGTCCATGTCTGTGTCTGTCTCCTGTTCCGTCGGCCTTCCGTCTGCTTTCTTCCCATTCTGTGTGGCCCTTGTACACCTGTCTTATGTATATATGTACGATCTCAGTCTGGACGCTCTGCTGTCTGTGCATCCCTTTTGTCTGGGCCCCATCTGTTTAAGATCCACCATCTGTCTCGGTGTCCTCTATTTCCTCCTCTGTTCCTGTATGTCCGTGTTTCCTCATGTATTAACGTGTTCTCACTGTCTGTGTGTGCCCTTGTCCAGGTCACCTCATCTCTCTGCCCCCATATCCACCGGTCTGTCCCTCTATCTGGCTGTGTCCCCCATCAGTCCATGCGTTCCTGGGTGAGTTAATATGGATTGCTCTGTAGGTCTCTGCTCCTCTAGTTGCCCGCCATCCCACTCCACATCTGTATCCACATTTAAGTGTTCCCCTTTTTCTCTCTGGCCCTTTCTGTCTCTGTCTCGCAAGTGTTTGTTTCTGTGTCATCCCTCTACATGTCCTGCTACCTGTCCATGATTCTCCTTGTCTGTCTGTATGTTCCTGTCTGTCTTCTCTCTCAAAGTCCCCTCTATCCATCTGTCTGTGTCTCGTCCTTTTGCTCCTCAGCTGGGTCCATTTCATCTACGTGTCTTCTCTTTGTCTGTAGGTAGAACCCTTCTGACTGTATGTGTGTTTCATCCTCAGCCTCTGTCTGTCAGTCTTTGTCTCCCCAATCTGCATGGGTGCCTCTGTCTATCTGCGTGTGCTCCCCACTTGTTTCCTTATTTGTGTCTCCCTGAATATCCATATGCCCACTCCCATTTAGGTGTGTGTCCACAGTGTGTCTATATGCTCCATATTTCTGTGTCTGCTCTCGTATGTGTGTGCTGCCCCTATCTGTCTGGGTGTCCCTGTCCGTCGGTGTGTTCCCATCTCTGTATTCACTTCTGTTACCACTTAGATCTACTTGCTTCTCCGCCTCCATCTCTTTTTGTCCCCCAATATGGATGTCCCCATACATCTGTGCCCCCTGTTTAAAGCCCCCCATCTCTCTGTGTCCCCATCTCAGTCTGTGTTTTATCTCACATTTATCTGTGTCTACCTCATGTTTGTGTGGCCCAGCCTCTATGTGTCCCCACTGTCTGTCATCCTCTGGCTCCTTGTCTGTCTACCTGCCTTTCCCTCTGTCCTTCACCATCACTGAATCTATCTGGGTGGGCTTTTACGTTACTTCATTTTTGTCTGTGTCTCCCCCACACATATTTATATATGTATATATATATATATATATGTGTGTGTGTGTGTGTATATCTGTCTCCATCCATACATTCTCATGTTTGTATGTGTCCTTCTGTACAGCCATCTCCCAGGCTGTCAGCTTCCAGCCTGCCAGCCTTGTCTGGGGCGCCAGCTGTGTGCAACACTGTCTCTACGTCTCTCTGTCTTGGGCCCCCAGTCTTTCTGCATGCCCCCATCTATGGCCTTGCTTCCATGTGTCCCCATCTGCCTGTCTGTCTGTCCCTGCACCTCTGTGCTCCTTCTTTCCATGCTTCCCCTTGTGTGTCTTTGTGTCTGTGCTCTCCTCTGTCCACATGGTGCCCTTTCTGTCTTGGTTCCCCTATTCCTGTGTCTGACTCATCTTTGTTCCCCTCCTGCTCCATATGGCTCTTGTGTGTGGGGGTACTACAGCTGTCTGGGTTCCATCCTCCCCCCTTCTCTTTGTTCCCTCTCCATGTTCCCAGCGTGTTTAGGCTCTACAGTGAGGCTGTATATCTCTTCTTAGGTGCCCCTTTCTACCTACGTGTCTCCAGGTCTGTTTCCTCACCTGTGTATCCCTGTGTCCATTCCCATCTGTGTTTGGGTCCCCTCTTCTCAGTGTGTCCCCATTTATATTCCCCTTTCTGCTGGGCCCCATCATCTGTCCCTCTAGGTATCTCCCTGTCACTTTACTGTCTCTTCTGTGCCTGTCACCCATGTGGGGCTGTCCCATCTGTGTGCCTTTGGTCACTCTGTGGGTAGACCTTCTTCCTGTCTGTCCCATCAGCTGGGCATGGGCCCCCATCTAACTCTGGCCCCTGGCTGTGTCTCTAGTGTGTCCACGTCCTCCAGGCAAACCTTAACTCCCCATGTGGGCATCCCTTATTGTCTGTGTGTTTGCTCCCATCTATGTGGGTCCCTGCCTGTCTTTGTGTTCTCCTGTTTATCTCTGTAGATGTGTCCCTGTCTGTGTACCCCATCTGGCTGTCCTTTTGTTCCCCTTTTTTGTGTCCCTGTCTCTATGACCCACATCAGTCTGTGTAACTCCACCTGTCTGTCCACGTATCTCTGTTTCTTTCTCTGTGCCCCCAACTATATCTTTCCTTCTGTGTATCCCATCGGTGTCTCATTGTCTGTCCGTGGTTTCTCTTGTCTGTCTGTTGTTCCTTGGCTGTATGGCACTGTGTCTCTCCCATCAGTGTGCCCAGTCCCTTCTCTGGCTGTCATGTCTGTGTGGCCCTTGTCTATGGATACACCCATTCTGGCCATGTGTCCCTCCTCATTTCTGTGTTTTCCTGTATATGAATGGGTGTGGCCCCATCTGTGCAGACCTCCTTGTCTGGGCCATTCCCTAGTTCTTGGCCTCCACGTGCCCATGTTTCCACCTGTGTCTCTAGTCATCTTAGCTTCACTGCCTATGTTGATCCCTACATTTTCCCCTTTCCTCTGTAGTCCCATGTGTGTCTTTAAGGGTCCTTCTGGTATGCCTTTGGCCCCTGTGTGGTCTTTGTCCCATGTCAATCCACAGATCATCTCTGGGCCCCCGTGTCTGTGTCCCCTCTGTGTGTCCCTCTCTCGTTCCCTGTCTTTCAGTTTGTGTTCCCATCTGTCTATGTCCTTGTCTGGGCCCTTCCACATGTCCCTCTCTGGGTGTCTCCCTCTAGCCGTGTGCCATCCCATCTTGTGTCTCCCATCTATGTGTTTGCTTATGTACATCCTCTCCATTTGTCAGTGCCCTTCTCACATAGCTAAAGATCCCCATCCACGTGGCCTCACCCATCCATGTTTACCCTTGTCTTTCTCTATGTCCCCCCAGCTCTGTCTCTTTCGTCTGTGTCATATCTGGGGCCCTGTGTCTGTGGATCCCCCTGGCTATGTATGGGAACCTCAGTTACATCTAGGTCCTCCTGTTGGTTTGTGTGGCCCCTGTTTATCTCTTTTCCCTTCCTTGGATCCCTGTCTACGTATTCACTCCCAACTACGTGGGTGTTTCCCATCATGTGGGTGTTTACTGTGCATGTGAGCCCACCCTGAGCACTCTCATTTCCAGTCTAAGGACCCCCAGTTCCTTTAATCAGGTCTTATATGGTATGGACTTGAGACCTTTTACCCTACTGGCTGCCTTCCCTTAGACACTTTCCAGCTAATCAACATTCTTCATAAACAATTGGGGCCAGGATCAGGTGTGGTGAGGGCAGAGGATCATGGGGTCTACCGCTCTCCATTCCTAGAAGCTATGCCTCTCTTAATGTAGTGCCTCAGCTTGTTTGGCTTCCTCATCACACTCCTGACTCACATTGATTGCAGACCACTAAAGGCTCTGGATCGTTTTTATCTCTATCTCTCCAGCCTTTTTGTGACTCTCTTCACTCTGTGTGTCTCCCTACTACTGTGACTCCCATACCTCTCTGTGTCCACCCATGTCTCAGTGTCCTCTTTTGCTATAGGCTCCTTTCTGTATGTCCTCCTGTCTCCCACCCTCTGGCTACCCTCTCCTTCCATGTCTCTGCCTATCTCTGTGTCCCTCATGTGTTCCTTTCTATGTCCCTATCTGAGTGGCTGCCTTTCTCTGGGAGCCCCTCTCCCACCAGGCACAAAGCATTTTGCAAACCTTAAATACCTATATAAAGGTGAGATGTTATTATTTTTGCTATGGTCAGCATCCCTAGGACATTCCACTCAAAACTTCCAAATTGGTATCAGCCCATTCATGACCCCTACTTTGCTCTTGTCATTCAACCACTTTGAATGCACCTGATGATACCATCACCTAGTATATCCATCACTCCATCTTTTCCCCCAGAGCAGCATAAGATACTTGGTCAAATACAAATACATGGCTAAAATATAAGTAAATTATAAATTACATGCCTGGATTCAGCAATCTAGTAACCCTTTTCTCTGTTACCTGATTTACCTTGTGGGTTCCAGTAGCCTGAATGTACCTTTGGAGATTTGGCCATGAGACACTGTTGTTGTTCAGTGACCCCTGAACTCCAGCATGCCAGGCCCTTCTGTCCTCCGCTGGCTCCCGAAGTCTGTCCACACTCACGTTTGTTGTTTCCAGATGCTCTCTATCCAGCTCATCCCCTGCCGGCCCCTTTTCCTTTGGCCTTCAATCTTTCTCAACATCAGGGTCTTTTCCAGTGAGTCCTGTCTTCTCATTATGTGGCCAAAGGATTTAAGCTTCAGCCTCAGTGTTTGTCCTTCTAAAGAAAGACATTACAGAAAGAAGCAAAGCTAGTTCACAGAGATGACAGGTTAGAGGGGACATTCATTTCATCCTCTCCTTTTTAAGGGAACTCTTTGATAAGGTGAGTGGCAGGGCCAGGATCAGAGGACCTGACCGAAGCCATCTTCCCGAGACAAGTGTGCTTGAGAGGCTCTGTCACCCACTTAGTTGCCAGCTGATATTCTCAAGTCCCATTGAAGCTCCAGCCTTGTATTTCAGACCTCCAGGAGAAGATTCTAAGTGGCACAGAAGGAGAGAACACCTCTGGATTGGAGGGATTTGGGGGAACTTTGGTCACTTGGACGGCAGCTTTCCTGAAAATCTGTCTCCACTTCAAAGTGGAGTAAGAAGGGAAGCCCTGGCCAGAGGAAGGGGGTGGAGGGAATCCCATTGAATTCTAGTGTTACCCAGCCAACTGCAACAAGGAGCCACTGCAGCAGCCAGGAGAAATCTTTCACTCTTAGTCTCCTAACAGCTGCTTTCACTTGGGCTCCTCCCTGAGCTCTCTGTGCCAAAGCTGCTACTCACTGCAAGCGGCCAGTGGGGCATGGCAGCAATCAGGAGAATGGGTAACTGTCCAACGTGGCAAAAGCTTTCCACCTTCATAGGAATTGGATCAAAGTGAACTCCAAAGGCGATTTGGAAGTCCATAGGGAGAAATGTGATACCGAAGCTTCTCTCCATCTGGATTATGTGAACCAATGTTCAGAATCACTAATAATAAGAAAAATACAAATGAAAAGTTTTAAGGACTGACCTCACACCCATGAGATTAACAAAGATAACAAAATGTGAAAACAATAAATTGCTAGACAGGCACACTAATATACTGTTGGTGCACCTGCAGATTGCTACAACCATTCTGGAAAACTATTTGGAATTATAGTAAGTCCCTAAACTGTACATTCCCTTAGACTCAGACGTACCATTCACTACTAGGCATGTTGGTTGTTGTCCTTTGTTCTCAAAGAGAACCAAAATGACATCACTACGCTAGAGTCAAGTTACGGAGTGTCGGATTGTGGCTGGTCAGACCAACATGAGCTCAGAATGTTCTACCACAGGTCGGGCACAAAAAGTCCATGTGAACATTTGGGGTGGGTTCTCTAAATTTGCGCATCTCACATCTCTTGTGAGCTACTTCAATTCTGCTTTGCTCATAGAGCACAGCAACTTCTCTGATGTGGGCATACCATGCTGAGTGGTCCTGTGCCAGTGTCTCCTATGTCACACAGTCAGTTCCAAAGTTGGGATGCTGGGCATGGGCACTTCCTTTTCTTAACATTCATTTTTAATTTTCAGTTCCAAATTCTCTCCTTCCCTGCAGCCTATCTCCCACACCTTGAGAAGGCAAGCAATATGATACCCACTATATGTGTAAAGTCATGCAAAACATATTTCCATTTTGGGGGGAGGGGAAACAAGAAAAATAAAGTGAAAAATATGCTTCAATCTACACTCAGTTCATTGTTCTGTCTCTGGAGGTAAATAGCATTTTTCATCACAAGTCTTTTGGAATTGTCTTAGATCATCGTGTTGATCAGAATAGCTAAGTCTTTCATAGCTGGTCGTTACTACAATGTTGCTATTACTGTATACAGTGTTCTGGTTCTGTTCATTTCACTTTGCATCAGTTCATATAACTCTTCCCAAGTTTTTCAGAAACCATCCTGCTCATTATTTCTTATAATAGTATTTCATTACAATCATATATCACAGCTTGTACAACCATTCCCCAAATAATGGGCATCTCCTCAGTTTCCAGTTCTTTGCCACTACAAAAAAAAAGAGCTGCTATAAATATTTTTGTATTGTGGCAGGTGAACTTAGCCATAAATTCCCTTCTCCTAAAGGACCTCTCTCCATTAGGATCTGCCATGGTACACATAGGTCCTTTCCCTTTCTCTTTGAGATACAGACCTAGTAGAGGTATTGCTGGGTCAAAGGATATGCACAGTTTTATAGCCTATTGTTCATGGTTCCAAATTGGTCTCCAGAATGGTTGGACTAGTTCACAACTCCACTCATAGTGCATTAGTGTCACTATTTTTCCACATCCCCTCCAGCATTTGTTCTTTTCCTTTTCTGTCATATTAGCCAGTCTGATAGGTGCAAAGTGATACCTCAGAGTTCTTTTAATTTGTATTTTTCTAATCAATAGTGATTTAGAACATTTTATCACATGACTATTGATAATTTTGGTTTCTTCTTCTGAAAATTGCCTGTTCATATCCTTTTACCATTTATCAATTGGTGAATGGCTCATATTTTTATAAATTTGGCTCAATTTGCGATGTGTTTGAGAAATGAGGCCTTTATCAGAGAAATTTGCTGTAAAATCCCCCCCCACACCCTAGTTTCCTGCTTTCCTTCTAATATTGGCTGCATTTTTTTGTGCAAAAGCTTTTTAATTTAATGCAATCAAAATTACCCATTTTGCCTCCCGTGATCCTTTTCATCTCCTGTTTTGATCATAAATTCTTCCCTTATCCATAGATCTGGTGGGTAACTTTTTTCTTGCTCTCCTAATTTGCTTATGGTATCACCTTTTATGTCTAAATCATGTATCCATTTTGACCTTATCTTAGTTTATACAGTATGAGATGTTGGTATATGGATCTATACCTAGTTTCTACCAGACTACTTTCCAGTTTTCCCAACAATTTCTGTCAAATAGTGAGTTCTTGCCCCAGATGACTGGATCTTTGGGTTTATCAAACACTATATTACTATTGTCATTTACCTCTGTTTATTGGGTTCTTAATTTAGTCTTCTAATCAACCACTTTATTTCTTAGCCAGTACAAAATGGTTTTGATGATTACCACTTTGTGTGGTGTGAAATTCAGTATGGCTAGGCTGCTTTCACATTGTTTTTCATTGATTCCCTTGATATTTTTTATTTTTTGTTCTTCTAGATGAATTTTGTTCGTTTTTCTAGCTCTATGAAATAAATGTTTTTGGTAATTTGTTTGATATGGCACTGGATAAGTAAATTAATTTAGGTAGAAATGTCATTTTTATTACATTGGCTCAGTCTTTGTTGTTGTCTAGTTGTTTCTGACCCTTTGTGACCCCATTTTTTGGGGGGGGAGGGGTTTTTTAGGGGCTCATTGATGGCTTGTTAAATTTCTTTTTCTAAGATAGGGTTATTTAAGTATTCCATTTCCTCTTCTGTTAATCTGGGCAATTGATATTTATTGGTTCAATTTTTTAAAACACTTTTATTAATTTAATTTAATTTTATTAATCCTTTGGTTTTTAGGATTCCTATTATGGTGTTTAATTGGAGATTTTTAATATGTTCTTTCTCTGTTTTTTTTCCCTTTGGTTCATGCTGAATTCATTGATATGGTTTTGTTCTCTTTTTTATTATTTATAAGCCTTTAGAGATATGTTTTTTTCTTAAGTATAGCTTTGGCTACATTCCACAACTTTTGGTATGTTGTCTCATTGTTATTACTATCCTTAATGAATTTATTGGTTCTATGGTTCTTTGGCTCACCTAATTCTTAGGACTGGATTATTGAATTTCCAATTAATTTTTAATCTATGCTTCCAAACTCTTTATTGAATGTAATTTTTACTGTCTTGTGATCCAAAAAGCCTACATTTGACATTTCTGAGTTTCTGCATTTGTTTGTGAGGTTTTTATGCCTTTTCTGCCTGTCAGTTTCTGTGAGGGTACCATATATAGCTAAGAAAAAGGTATATTCTTTTGTGTTCCCATTCACTTTTCTCCAGAGATATATCAAACTTAACTTTTCTAACATTCTGTTCATCTCCTTAACTTCTTATTTATTTTATGGTTAGATGTATCTAGTTCTAAGAGGGGTAAATTAAGGTCCCCCTAGTGTAGTTTTATTATTTCCTCCTGTAACTCATTTAACTTGTCCTTAATCCGGAGAGGCCCCTGCTATCTTGCAATGTCAAGTGCTAGTGTTCACCTTTTTACCATGAAGTAGGGCCCCTGTTTTCTCTCTCTCTGCCCTGGAACTGTGACCAGGGACCCTATTTCCTTGTGACGACAGATGTTTTTCTCCACCCTGGAACTGCAACCAGGGCCTCTGCTCCATTGTGATGGCATCTGTGTCCTGGAACTGGGTAATGGTCAATGGAGTTGCCAAGTAGTACCCAGTCCTGTGCCCAGTGCCCACACAGAGGTCCTCTGTAATCTCTTTCTGACTAGTTGTTCAATCCTCTTACTGCCTATGGGCAGCGAGAGCTTCTAGAACTGTTGCAGCTGTTGCTGCTGCTATCACCACAGCTGCCATAGCCTTCAAGGTCCATAGCAGGTGTTGACCACCACATCACCCTCTGAGCCAGGCTCCACCCCAGTGTCACAAACCTCTCCTTCTAATGTCCCAAGTTATTTTAGGCTGGAAAAATTTTTGTTTGCTGTGCTGTTCCAGAATTTGATTTTTTGATGTGTTATTTTCAAATTGCTTGGAGGGGCATATTGGTGGAGTTCAGCTGGAATGTTCCTTCTACTCTACCATGTTGGCATTTTCTTTGAGCAAGGGTTTTTCTGCCAGAAACAAGTTAAAGCAGTTCTCCCTAAGAATGAGGACAAGGGGATATGATGAGGAAACTGTGTCAACATCTATAGATGCATCTGAGTGACCTGGCATTCTTTGTCAGCTATGTTTGAGGAAGTACACCATGGGGAGGAGGTCTCACACCAGCCATAATAGTAATTTAGCAGTGTTTGTTTTAAGAAACTGTTAGAACAATTGACTCTGGACACTGGGTGCAAAAGCTGGGAATGCTGGGTTCCATTCTTGAGTTTGGCCCTCAGGTTTTTGTCAAAGTTTTCCTAGACAGAAGGCTTCACCTTAGGGAAAATGGAAACTCAAGACAACTGGCTTGAATCTCTAGGGAGTTTGTAGACTGGAAGGTAAAACAGAACTTGCCCAAGCCCAGTAGGCAATCTCAAGTAGTTTAGAATCCTAATGGCACTGGCAGTGTTGAGCAGCATCGAATGTCCCTTTGTGACCACAGGTCATGCTACTTCTGTAGATGTGACTACTTGACTTCAGAAACAGGACCTAGAAAAACAGAAGCAAGAGTCACAAAGTTAAAATCTACAAACCAAAGTAGTTAGCCATTCACTTCAAAATTCTAGGATTGCATATGTGTATTCACTAAGAACAAGTTATACATCAAAGGAAGCTTGAGATCATCTGCTCCTACCTTTTCATTTTTTTAACTTTCTGTTTTATTATGAACTTAGTGAACAAAAACATTAACATTTCAATAGAGGAAGAACAAAAAAGAAAATTGCATATGAAGCTGTGAATGTTTCACATTTCTGAATACGTCCCTCCCAGCACAAAGCTTTCCCCTGTAACAAATATAAAAGAAGGAAATAAAGCAGTATAGGAGAGCCAAGCACCATCTCGATCTGACTATGCAGCATTCCACACTGATATATTCCTTTACCTGTAATCATGATGAGGGAGGTATATTTTCTAAATTTTTCTCTGTGCAACCCCTTTGTTTTCATGCCATGCTAACTTCCTTTCCTTGTTTTTCCCCTAACAGGGTGACCTAGACTATCTCTCTATAGCCATAGTGTATCTGGATTTCAACCAGGCATTTAACAGGGGCTCTTGTGACAGCGCTGTGGAAAAGCTGAAGAGAGAGATGTGTGCTGCAGAGATTTCTGGGGGCAGAGCCAAGATGGCAGTGTAAAAGCAGTGACT